CTATAATCACAGCTATTCAGGAGGCTGAGGCTGGAGAATCGCTTGAACCTGGGAGGTGGAGGTTTCCGTGAGCTGAGATCCTGCCCCTGCACTCCAGCCTGGGCAACAGAGTGAGACTCTTATCTAAAAAAAAAAAAAAAAAAAGAAAGAACTCTACCACTTCCTATGGCCACTGAATGAACATTGTAACATTGGTTTTTGTTAGTTTTTGAAAGTTGTTACATTTGTTTTTTATATGTACTCCCAGTTCCTCCCAGTTTCAAGCAGTTACCTTGTATCTACATTTAGCACATAGCCTTGCATACTGCTCCTTCATCTCCTGTGTCTCAGTTCCGTCTGGAGATAGGGCGCTCCGCTAGCGGCTAGCTGCTCTTCCTGATGCCTCTGCAGTGGTTTGGTTTTCCGAAGCTTGTTTGTTGCTAGTGCCTTCAAGAGGGGATTTTGGGAATATTGTCCTCTGAGGACTGGATGCTGCCTTTATACTTTTTTTATACTTTATACTTTAAAGTAATTTTGTCTGGATATAAAATTTTTGGCTCACATTTCTTTCCTTGTGTGTCTTAAATATGCTAATCCTTTTTTCTGTTGGAGTTTGATAATCTAATTTTCTTTCCATTATAAGTCACCTAATCTTTTGCTTGGATGGCTAAAGGAATTTTTCTTTAAATAATGTTTTTGTTGGGCTGGATCTTGGTGGTGGTGGTTCTGTTTTTGTTTTTTTCCCCTAGGTTGTGGCGTATCCTTTTTTTTTTTTTTTTTTTTTTTTTTGAGACGGAGTCTCGCTCTGTCATCCAGGCTGGAGTGCAGTGGCGTGATCTCTGCTCACTGCAAGCTCCGCCTCCCGGGTTTACGCCATTCTTCTGGCTCAGCCTCCCGAGTAGCTGGGACTACAGGCGCCCGCCACCTCGCCCGGCTAGTTTTTCGTATTTTTTAGTAGAGACGGGGGTTTCACCATGTTAGCCAGGATGGTCTTGATCTCCTGACCTCGGGATCCGTCCGTCTCGGCCTCCCAAAGTGCTGGGATTACAGGCTTGAGCCACCGTGCCCGGCCGGTGTATCCTTTTAATGCGTAGTTTCAAGTGCCCCCCCCTCCTGTTTTCTGGAGAGTTTTCTTGAATTACAGTTTCTAGTATTCCATTTCACTGCTTTAGTTTTCACCTGTTTTCGAGACAGGGTCTCGGTCTGTTGTCCAGGGTGGAGTCAGCCTTGCCCTCCCAGACTCAAGTGACTTTCCCGCCTCAGCCTCCTGAGTAGCTGGGACCACAGGCACGTGCCACTGTACCTAGTTAATTTTAAAAATATGTTGTAGAGGCGGGGCCTCAGTACATGTCCAGGCTGATCTTGAATTACTGACCTCAAATAATCCTCCTGCCTCAGCCTCCCGAAGCATTGGGATGACAGGCGTGAGCCGCCGCGCCTGGCCACCTTTCATCTTTAGCATCTCCTGTTATACATATGTTGGGTCTTCTTTTCCTGTCTTATGTGCTACTTTTTCTTGAGCTTTTTTCATATCTTTCATTTCTTTTTTATTCTTGAAAATTTTGTCATTTTGTTTTTCTTAAGGCACCATTGTGTTTATTTGTTTTAAGGTTCTTGTAGTTTAGGCTTCGTTTCTGAAGTTATTTTTTCTTTTGTTTCTAATATATTCTGAGTTCTAGTACCTTGCTTCTGAGTTTTTCTAATGCTGGTTTCTGGTTAATGGTATGTTATATGTTTAATGTATTTCAGTTTCTTTTGAATTATCAGGATTTTTTTTTTGTTTTTAGTTTTCATCTTTTTGGGGGACATATGTTTCTAGAATGTTTTCATTGTCTGCAGTGATGTTATTTTGCTTCTTATTCTTTTAAGAAATATGTTGCCGGGCGCGGTGGCTCAAGCCTGTAATCCCAGCACTTTGGGAGGCCGAGACGGGCGGATCACAAGGTCAGGAGATCGAGACCATCCTGGCTAACACGGTGAAACCCCGTCTCTACTAAAAAATACAAAAAACTAGCCGGGCGAGGTGGCGGGCGCCTGTAGTCCCAGCTACTCGGGAGGCTGAGGCAGGAGAATGGCGTAAACCCGGGAGGCGGAGCTTGCAGTGAGCCGAGATCCTGCCACTGCACTCCAGCCCGGGCTACAGAGCGAGACTCCGTCTCAAAAAAAAAAAAAAGAAAAGAAATATGTTATTTTTGCATGATATTTGGCCTCAGTACTTTCTGTTGCTCATTTTTATATGACTTTTTCTTTTCTGAATGCTGAGAAGGGAGGCTTGGTTTAGAATCGTTTCTCTAATTTCAGTGTTTTGGGGTTCTTTCCTGTGTTTTTTGAAAGTTTTAAAAATGCAGCAACTTATTTTCTTAGCTCTCTAGGCTCCATTCTCCCCTCCCACCTTTCATTAGCTTTCATGTTCCTTGGTCTCTAGTTTCCATGCCCTGCACATTTTGTGTTCAATTCCAGGCTGTTTCTTTTCAATGTGTTTGGCCTAAAAGGGAGCTTTGGATAATGAGTTTTGAGAGGGCTTGGGGTCCAGAACACTTGGGCCTCTGGGTCAGCCCTGCAGGCCTCTGTGTGGGTCTCCTGGTGGATCCGGCAGCTGCTGCTCTCAGCCCGGCTCCTGCTTCCCTCTGCTTCCTCCGTCCTACGCCCGTGTGCCATGCTGACCTTGTGGCTTCCAATGTCCCCATCTGCTTGTGTTTGGGGTTCTTGAGGAATATCCTGTAACCTCGTTCTGTTGGCGGTGTTGACCTGGATTTTGGTTTTGCTATCCTTGGAGCTGTGTGTGTCTGTATGGGAGGATTTAGGGAGATTAAACATCTGTCTCATTCTGTCTTTCTCGGCTGGACTTTTTAGAGGTTAGCGCTGCTCCCTCTCTGAGGCTTTGTGTCTCCCCCTCCAGTTATTTGTCATCAGCTCTTTTTTTTGTTAAGGACAATTAATTTATGTTTCCTCAGTTCATCTAATCTTGTGTAAAGTTATAAGGAGGGAATAAAAATACCTTTGTTATTTTATAGATCTCGTATTTGATCACACATTTATGAAAAATATTGCCTTTACTAATAAAGGAAGATTTAAGACAGCACTTGGCTCCTTCTTCCACGAATTGTTATCCCCAAGAAATTCTAGAGCTGAGGCGAGGTGCAGTGACTCACACCTGTAATCCCAGCACCTTGGGAGGCCAAGGCAGGCGGATCACCTGAGCTCGGGAGTTCAAGACTAGCCTGACCAACATGGAGAACCCCTGTCTCTACTAAAAATACAAAGTTAGCTGGGTGTGGTGGCGTGTTCCTGTAATCACAGCTACTGAGGAAGCTGAGGCAGGCAAATCACTTGAACCCAGGAGGTGGAGGTTGTGGTAAGCCGAGATCGTGCCATTGCACACCAGCCTGGGCAACAAGAGCAAAACTCCATCTCAAAAAAAAAAAAAGAAAAGAAAAGAAAAGAAAAAAGAAATTCTAGAGCTGTTGCCATTTAAGCTATAAAATTTAAACCTAGACAAAGGAGAGGAGGAACTGCATTTTTCATTGGATTTAAGAACACGAGTGAGGCCTGCTTTTGTAATTTCATTCCTGTTGGGACTCATACATTAACAGAAGTTGTGGCCAGGCGCGGTGGCTCACGCCTATAATCCCAGCACTTTGGGAGGCCGAGATGGGCGGATCACGAGTTCGGGAGATCGAGACCATCCTGGCTAACATGGTGAAACCCCGCTCTACTGAAAATACAAAACTTAGCTGGGCGCGGTGGCGGGCGCCTGTAGTCCCGGCTACTCGGGAGGCTGAGGCAGAAGAATGGCGTGAACCTGGGAGGCGGAGCTTGCAGTGAGCAGAGATCGGGCCACTGCACTCCAGCCTGGGTGACAGAGTGAGACTCCGTCTCAAAAAAAAAAAAAAAACCAGAAGTTGTGAATAGACTCAAGAGTTGAAACCATGTGACCTGAAAACCCCACTTTTCCTTCTGCGATGGGGGTTGTGGTTAGGGACAGTGAACGGACTCTTCCTGATGAAACGAGCTGTGCTGTACAGAGCTGGGCACAGGGTTTCTGCCCTTAAGAAGTGTATAGTGTAGTTCAGGGAAAACAGTTTACTTTATACCATTTATTTGTCAATAATTAAAATATAAAGCATAATCTGATAAAAAAATATTATGGTCACATTCATTCCTCATTTCAGTGACATCCTATTTTGCAGTCCTATATTTGGATCTGTGTGTCCATAGACCGTAGTTTGAATGATGCAGCCTCATTTTTACTTTGGAAAATAAGTTCTCTTGAGGCCTAATCAGAGTGTCACAGGAGCTGGAGGAAAGCCCCTGACTGTTTCAGACACTGTGCCAGGCTCGGGGATAGCCCCATCCTGGACAGCACAGTTGTGGACAGGACAGATGGTTCCCCCTTGGTCATGGTGGCACGATGCTACTCGGGTTCAGGACAGAACCTGAGAGCAGAAAGAAAGCAGAACAGAGGTGCTGCCACTCCGCCGGGCCTGTGGGGTAGCAGAACGGAGTATGGGTTATAGTCTAGATGGAAGCGTGCAGTTGGGAGAGATTTGGGAGGAGAGATGGTATATCACCATGGAGACCAGTGGTGTGGTGTGGGTGGGATGCTGCTTTCTGGGGTGTGGTGAGTGTAGCAGGGCTGAGGCCCCACGGGAGCAGGAAGTGACAGGACGTTTGCTGTAGGCAGTCAGGCCCCACTGGAGACTTGAGCTGAGGGAGAGGATGTTTCCAAGCCAGTGTTGGGAAGGTGGCTTTGGAAGGGCATGAGGAATGCAGTGGAAATAGAGACGCCCTGGGTGACTTGTCCAGTGGTTAAGGAATGAGGCAGCGGGTGGCGTTTTCAACTATTTGTTAATTTTCAAAGAAACTTACCTTTTGGTGGTTTGAGGCAAGAAGAACCCTGCATGTAAAAATCCACAGACATTCTCGGCCTCTTGCATACATGTGCACGGCTCGTGGTTTTCATCATTTCACATGTGGCGATGGTTAATGTCCTCTCCTCCTCCTTTGCTTCTGTTTGGTAGGTGACCAAAAGCCAGCCCCTCTTCGAGTGGAACTCTTGCGTGTTGACCGGCCACTCTCCTGTGCTCTGGATGATGTCTGAACACGACCTGGCGGATGTGGTTCAGATTGCAGTGGAAGACCTGAGCCCTGACCACCCAGGTACAGAGCTGTGGGACAGTAGGTGAAATATTATTCTCATTACTCTTGAAAAACCAAAAGCTGCTGCAGTTATTTTCTTTTCTTTAAGCAGAAGTGAAAGTAATGCATGCTGTATATGAAAAAGTTTGAATCCTAGAGATGTGAACATTGTCGGCCCCTCCCTTCCCTCGCCCCTGCAGCCTCAGCCCCATGTTCCTTCTGGAGGGGGCCCCTGTCACACTTTTGTGGTTCTTTGTCTGGTCCTACGGGTGGCTGTGGTCTCGTGGTCCTGTCCTCTGCTCCTGGTGCTGTGGCTCGTGGATCCTTGTGTGTGTGTGTGTCTCTACCATTTCCCTGTGTTTTTTTTTTTTTTTTTTTTTTTTTTTTTTTTTTTTTTTTTTTTTTTTTTTTTTTTTTTTTTTTTTTTTTTTTTTTTTTTTTTTTTTTTTTTTTTTTTTTTTTTTTTTTTTTTTTGTGTCTCTGACCCCATTTGTTGTATCCCCTGTGTGTGGCGTCGTGGATCCTTACCATGTTGTGTGTGTAATCCCCTGTGTGTGGCGTCGTGGATCCTTACCATGTTGTGTGTGTAATCCCCTGCGTGTGGCGTCGTGGATCCTACCTGTGTGTATCCCTGTGTGGCGTCGTGGATCCTTACCATGTTGTGTGTGTAATCCCCTGTGTGTGGCGTCGTGGATCCTTACCATGATATATGTGTAATCCCCTGTGTGTGGCGTCATGGATCCTTACCATGATGTGTGTGTAATCCCCTGTGTGTGGCGTCGTGGATCCTTACCATGTTGTGTGTGAAAAGTCAGCTCTGTTAGCAACTCCGCAGAATTCATTCACAGGTGCCCCCTCCACAGTTGACTTTTTCCTTCAGGGGCTCCTGGCATAGTCTGTCTGATTTTTCCTTTATACACAACCCTATAGGGAAGATCCTTGCATATGTATCTTGGCAAATAGAGAAGTTCCCAGAAGGAAAATTGCTATGTGTGTTTAAAATTTTGTTAAGACACTGAGAGGTTCTCTAGAAATGTTTTACTAATTCTTCCACTCACAGTGCTTGAGAACACGTTTTTTTCTACACCTTTGCTAAGGCTGGTAATTTTAAAAAATGATGTTAAAGGCACATGTCTACTTTGAAATAATAAACTTGTTTAAAGGAGACCCTTGAGAAATGAAACCTTAAATTTCAGGAACTTCACCTCTTCATCTGTGAAAACACTTTGTCCACACTTACTGTTTTAAAGAGATTTCTTCTTCTTCGTCGTCTTCTTTTTTTTTTTCTGTAAAGTGGCATGTGTTTTATTGTTCTGTTAAGTTTGAAGTGACAAGCCCACCACAGCTAAGTCACTGAATGTTTCGGTTGCCTGGTTATTCTTTCAGGAATGTTCGAATTGAAAGGCTGACAATTTATTCCTCCAGAAGAGAGAATTTTCAGAACTCTCATAAGGAAGTCTGATGTCCATTCCTATGATCTGTTTGCTCTGTTAGTCGAGAAAACTACATGTGGAGACTAGTTGTAGTCTGGAAGGGGAGGGCAATAGAAATAGTTTTGGGGTGAGGTGAGCAGTCCCAGGGGAACATGAAGGCAGCATTTCAGGAGTGCTGTTGGTTAGTTTTCCACACGATCACTGCACATTATTTTACAAATCCCTGTTTCTAGTTTAGAAGGCAAATGACAGTTTCTTTAGAAAACATACACTGTAATCTTGTAAAAGAAAACTGTTCCAGTTACATCATTTCCAGTGATTTCAGAACCATTAAAGTTCTGACAGCCTACTTCCCCAATAAATCTCTCTTTATAGACCGTGGCCCAAAAAAAGCTTAGAGAAATAATTTCGAATCTTGATTTTGTTCCATCTCTGTTCCTTAAATGCCTGAGAACTATGATTTCTTGAGTATTTGTTAAAAGCCTACTGTGCGCAGAGCTCCTTGGCCTGCCCAGTACAAAGCCTGCAGTCTGGACCCAGGAGAAGGTGTGCACAGCTGCAGGTACCTTGGTGTGTCACGCATGTTTGCATTCATTGTGGGTTTAAAGTACTTTCCTCATCTCAAAAGTATACATCTAATAAAGTTTAACAGGATAGTCAAGAAAGTAGAAGAAATAAAAATTTTCTACAATCCTACTGGTTGTAGCAGCTTTTAAATTGTTGATGTGTATGTCTTTCCAATTTCTCCTTATTTTTATTTAAAAGAAAGACTTCTAGGATCATCTGACTTGATGTGTACCGACCATGGCTTGTGCTAACTCTACCTGTCTGAATGCAAAAATTGTGACTTGCATAAGGCCTGTCATTGCAGTTGATTGATTGTGATGTCTTTATTTATTTATTTGTTTATTTAAGACAGAGTTTTGCTCTGTCGCCAGGCTGGAGTACAGTGGCATGATCTTGACTCACTGCAACCTCTGTCTCCTGGATTCAAGCGATTCTCCTGCCTCAGCCTCCCGAGTAGCTGGGATTACAGGCGCCTGCCACCATGACCAGCTAATTTTTCTATTTTCAGTAGAGACAGGGGTTTCACCATGTTGGCCAGGCTGGTCTCGAACTCCTGACCTCAGGTGATCTACTCACCTCGGCCTCCCAAAGTGCTGGGATTATAGGCGTGAGCCACTGCACCCAGCTTGATGGTGATATTTTAAAAATGAACAAGGAGTTATTTTAATTCTAAAAGTAATGCATACAAAATTATAAAAAGCAACACATACAAAAAGCAGCAAAGTACAAAGAAGAAAATAAATGTCACTTGCTGTTCCATTACCTGTGGAGTCATTACTGGAGTTACTGCATGCCTGTCTGCTGCCCTTATGACGAAACTAGCTCTGTGACCCCAGAGAAGTCCCGTAACCTTTCTGGACTTGTTTTCTTCTCAACAAACTAAAAAGTTAGAGTAATAAGTGCGAGGGTCTCTCTCTGTTCTTCCAGGCCTGGTGTGATGACCAGTTTCCAGTGAGAGTAAAAAGCCTTTGACTGAGGTCCTGGGAACCTTTGACTAACCACAGGCACTTGCGGGCATGGAGTTTGAAAAGTTTCGTTACGTGAGAATTCATCTGCAAAGGCTTAGGTGGTGATGATTGATGCGCTCCCTGCCTCTGAGGAGTCATGAGGCCGAAGGCAGGGCCATGTGCTGCTTGTGAGCCGACAGTAGTCCTTGGCTTTGGATAATTTCCCACTGGGTAGATCAGATTTGACTGCTTTTGCCTAGGACCTGTGAGAGGTTCCTGTTAGAACTGTGGGACAATTCTGCATCTTTAAGTTTCAGAGTTTTGAGCGGAATCATCTAGTGGGTACAGGCTTAAAGGCACGGACCTTCTTTTTTGTTTTCCTGTTAAGATCTTCTTCGGAATGTCAATCTATATAATTCCGCGGGGAGTTGCTTTGGTGGAGGTGGAGGCAGGGACCAGAGAGGCCTGTGCACTTGGCTTTCCTCTAGCACCTGGAGAATCTGAATGCCAGCCAGGAGTGCTTCACCCACATCTGTGGGCAGCCTTGCGTGTAAGGTGCTGGGAGGGTGGTCTGCTCTGGGGTGGGTGCTGTCACCTAGTTGGTGTCACAGTATAAAAGTATAAACAGGGCCGGGCGCGGTGGCTCAAGCCTGTAATCCCAGCACTTTGGGAGGCCGAGACGGGTGGATCACGAGGTCAGGAGATCGAGACCATCCTGGCTAACATGGTGAAACCCCGTCTCTACTAAAAAAATACAAAAAAAAACTAGCCGGGCGTGGTGGCGGGCGCCTGTAGTCCCAGCTACTCGGAGGCTGAGGCAGGAGAATGGCGTGAACCTGGGAGGCGGAGCTTGCAGTGAGCCGAGATCGCGCCACTGCACTCCAGCCTGGGTGACACAGCGCAAGACTCCGTCTCAAAAAAAAAAAAAAAAAGTATAAACAGGTGTGAGCTGAGGCTCTTCCAGGAATGGCTTCCCGAACAAGGTGGCATTTGAGTGGGGCTGGACAGAAGGTGGTTAGATTTCCCTGGTGGAGACGGCTGGAGGGTTGGTAGTATGGGAAGGGCTGGGGCACAGTCCACACCCGCAGAGTGGGGCGGGTGTCATCTGGCCACAGTGAGGTCATCCTGCTTGGCTGTGACGTGGGTGCCTTGAAAGCAGATGGTGTGCCAAAGGTGTGCATGTGCTCAAGGGTATTCCCAGTGGCCTCATTCAGATTTCTGATTTTTTTCTACCAGGAGCGTTACAGTAAGCATGCTCATATGTATGCATGTATATAGCATCTATTCGTATATACTGGCATTCATTTTTGTAGATAGTCACGCACTGGTATTACTGTTAAAAACTTAAAGCTATTAATATTATAACCTGGATAGTTCCAGCTACTCAGGGGCTGAGGTGGAGGGTCCCTTGAGTACAGGAGTTTGAGTCCAGCCTGGGTGACATAGCAAGACCTCATCTCTAAAAAACAAAAACAAATAAAACACACAAAAAAGAAAGATTAATATGAACGCAGAGTCCATGTTTGTTGCTCAGTGAAGAGGAAGGCTGCAGACAAACCTGTTGATGCGGTAGATGGTCTCGCACCTCCCACATGTGTGCTGTTTCTTTATCTTGATGTGTGAGCGTGTAGAATAGAGCACGGTAGGAACTCACTGGACAGTTCACACTGTCATTTCAGGCAAGGAAATGAGAAGAAAAAAACACTCACGGCACAATCTACAATCTTTAGCAAGAACTGTTGACCTTTTAAACTTCTGTCTATAACTGCAAATATGTACATTTTAAAAAATTGACTAGGTCAAAGGAAAAGAGAGGACTAGAAGGGTGACAGACAGATAGACATGTGGTTTGCAGAGATGAGGCAGTTGTGGCCGATTTTGGTCTTTGATTTTTTTTTTTTTTTTTTTGAGACGGAGTCTCGCTTTGTCGCCCAGGCTGGAGTGCAGTGGCCGGATCTCAGCTCACTGCAAGCTCCGCCTCCCGGGTTTACGCCATTCTCCTGCCTCAGCCTCCCGAGTAGCTGGGACTACAGGCGCCCACCACCTCGCCCGGCTAGTTTTTTGTATTTTTAGTAGAGACGGGGTTTCACCATATTAGCCAGGATGGTCTCAAACTCCTGACCTCGTGATCCGCCCATCTCGGCCTCCCAAAGTGCTGGGATTACAGGCTTGAGCCACCGCGCCCGGCCTGGTCTTTGATTTTGAGGTTATCTTTGACTTTGTTTTTGTAGTCAATTTTAGACAAAAGGAAGGAGGTTGGGACCGGACTGTGGCCGCCCTGAGCTGGGGCCGAGTTGCTTATCCTGTGGGAAGCCGTGGCGATCAGCTGAGGCTGGCTGTGTGATGGGGGCAGCTGGTCTCAGCTGTGCTGGGAGGGTTGGGGTTCTGTCACTTAGTGTGTTCAGGTTGAGACTGTTTTGATTGTTAGCACCTATGACGATGTGATATTCAGTGTTGTTTTTCCCCTTTCAGTTCTGGACCTGCAGTTAGAGTGGCTTTGAGTTTGGAATGAGGTGACCAACAGATACAACTTTATTTTAAAGTGGGGAAGAAATCATTATTATCGATTGGGTTTTATCAAACCAAACAGGGCAGCCCCATAGAGCATTGAGTCAGAAGCTTGCAGATTTGGAGTTAGGATTGACTCAGTGGCACATTAATTGCCCAGTGTCTGGGCTTTTCTTGGGATTAAGGAGTTATCCTATTTTCTGCCTGACTGAGAATAAGTTTAAAAAGGTAAAATATGAAATAGGTTCTGCTATTTCTCATTCAACCTTAAGGTGTCAGCGCTGTTTACTATCTTAATGTTAAAATAATTCTGTAAAACTTTTCATGTTAAACATTTTTTTCTCTGTCACCGATTTCAGTTGTTTTGGAGAATCATGTAGTGACAGATGAAGACGAACCTGCTTTGAAACGCCAGCGACTAGAAATCAATTGCCAGGATCCGTCTATAAAGGTAAAAATCTGACTCTGTTCCGTAATGTGTAGTGCACTGCAGATTTCAAGGGCTGCTGTAACAAATCACCATCAACGGGATGGCCTAAAAATGTAGCCTGTCAGCGGTGGAGGCCAGAGATCAAAACCAAGATGTGGGCAGGGTCTGGCTCCCTCCAAAGGTTCTAGAAGGTGGATCCTTCCTGCCTCTTCCAGCTTCTAGTGGCTCCAGGCCTCTCTCACCTTGTGGGGCTCCTTCCAGCCTCTACCTTCCGCTTCATGTTGCTGCCGCCTTTGTGTGTCTGTGACTGTTTCCCCTTCTTCTTCTAGTAAGGACTTGCCATTGAATTTAAGGCCCATCCTAATCCAGGTTGATCTCATTGACTAAATTACATCTGCACAGACCCAAAGAGTTTCTAAATTACATCTAAATTACATCTGCACAGTTTCCAAAGAGACCACATGGGTAGGTTCTAGCGGTTAGGATGTGGATATACATTTGAGGATGTGGCTGTATCACCAGGCAGCCCACTACAGAAGAGTGTGAGCCATTTTTTTCTCTTGAAGAGCACAAGGAGTAAGAATTGTTTACCTTGAGATGCTGCTGAAGGAGGCATCTTCCCACACCTGCAGGCCCATTTTGGGTGGAAGGAAAGTGAACTTTCTACCAGTGATGAATGACTTCTGTGTCTGCCGTTTAAGTCACTTAGATTCTAAAGTTTACTGGATGGGGTTCTTCAGAACCGCTCGTTCCGTTAATTATTTTTGGATCTTTGAATCTGCTTGATTGGTTCCAGTGTTTGCAGAGTCACAGAGGTAAATACCAGCACGTGTGAGAAGTTTATGAGAGCAACACAAAACCAAAGTCACTTTTCATGTAATTCCTCTACCTACACAGGGTTTCTACTTGGTCTTATTTAATTTGTTTTGTTAACAAGGAGAAGCAGTGTAAATGTGTATGAAAAACTTAAAAATAAGTTCACAGTAAAATGTCCGTTTCCAACCAGTCGATAGGATGTGGCTCTGTTAGTAAACACTGCGTTTTCATCGCCTAAATAAATACAGTTGTAATTTTATTGCAGAAGACACACCTGTTACGCCCAGCACAGAAATGTATAAAGTGGGCGTGGAAGCGGCCCTGCCTTTGTCCTTGTCCCACTGTTGAGAAGAGGTTGGGCCCCGGTTGAATGCGACCTGCGTAGAGTCATGTGTGGCTCTAGGTTGTTTTATTAGCATATAAGAGTGATTTTCCCCCAAACCCCAGGCAGAATCATTTGTAATTCAGAATTAAAATAACGTGGGCGCACTGTTCAAAGAATTTGAGAGCCGAACATTTGATGTTCTCCAGTTGGTGAAAATAGTGGGGTTGTCAGTGGCCATTCAGGGATTCAGCCACCCATTGTTGCTTTTCAAGACGACGCATGTTTGTCATGCCATGGACCGTGCTCATTTGTAGGTAAGCTGACTGAGTGTCATCCGTGGGCTTGGGTCCACCTGACACCGAGGCTCCTTCCCTCTGTCACACGGGCCTTCAGCGTCATTCCAACAGAGAGTAGTCAGTCAGGGAGGGTGAATTTCACTTGGTTTCTTTAGCTCCTGTCTATATCAGCGCCTAGTGGTGAATGTTGCCAGGAGAGGTGGTGACCTGAGAAAAGGTGAGTTGTTGGGCAATATGTGGATTTTCCCTCCTGCAGTGCTGTCCCTGCCACTATGTACACCAGGTTTCCATGCCAGCTTACATGATGTTTGATATCACTGTAATCTTGATATTCTGCAGATTCCCCTTAGATCAGAAAGGAGAGTGGGCTGTAGGTCAGCCGCAGTTAGTGGGAAAGCTGTTCCAGCTCCAGTGTGGGCCGGCCTCCTGCTCCGCTGTGAATGTGGGCCGGCCTCCCGCTCCCCTGCGAGTGTGGGCCGGCCTCCCGCTCCCCCGTGTGCAAGCTCCACAGCCAGCTCTCAGTGGCTTCCGCAGTGCCGCCCCTGCTCTCCCGCGCCTACCTCCCTCCTCCTTCTGATGTGTGCACTTTGGGCCCCACACTCTTTAGGCCATGGGCAGAAAAAGAGAGAGAAAAGACGAAACACAAATTCTGTGGTATTTTCAGCTATTGATTCTTAAGGCAGGTGCCAGCCTTCCTGACTACTAAGCGGGGCTGGTGGGCACTCCCCCAACTTGCCCCTCCCTAGCCCGGAAGGAGTGTCCTTCTGTCTGCTGGTGAGACCTGGTGGAGGGAGTCTCTTTTGCTCAGTGAATTCCTGCGTGATTAACACGTTTCCACATGTGGTCCTGGCGGCTCCTGGCTGGGACGGCAGTTGGGGAAATGAAGTTCTTCCCTTTCTGCCTTGTGTGTTTCTCTGTTTCTTGGGTTTGGAGTCCGACACATCACTGCTCACGGTGGTTACTTGGAGTTAGGAATCCGGAGGAGACTCGGCTGGAAAGGTCAGACGTGGAGCCCGGCTTTGCCGGCCACTAGGTGGCGAGCTTGCCGCTCAGGAGCCCCACGGGAGCCTCAGGACGGAATCCGTCAGGGCCACAGGGGATCCAGTCACCGTTTCCGATTAGGCAGCTTCCGATTAGGCAGTGGGGTGTGATGTGAGTGTGCATGGCCTGTGGCTTTTACGCTGTTTGATGTTAGGTGTAATCTGTTTTTATTGTTGAGAAGATTTGACTAGTTTTTGTGTAAATTTACTGATTAATAACAACATATTAAAGTACATACTTTTTAAAAATTAAGTGGACTTAACTGAGAATTGCAACTGCACATAGAAGTGAAACCATGATGAAATCATCACATTTCAAACAGGACGTGTGACTCGTGTGTAAAGTGGGAACTCGTTACTCTCAGGCTTCTGGCTCGTAGCTAACGAGCCAGTTCCAGTGTGGAGATTGTCCTGTCCGAATAGATGGAGTTGAGATCAGGAAATAGCTGTTCGGTGTTTCTTGGGGTTGTCTTCTTACAGTTCAGGAGACCCTTCCTAAAGCCGGTCTTTTTTCACTTCCAGTCATTCCTGTATTCCATCAACCAGACAATCTGCTTGCGGCTGGATAGCATTGAAGCCAAGTTGCAGGCCCTGGAGGCCACTTGTAAATCCTTAGAGGAAAAGCTGGATCTGGTCACGAACAAGCAGCACAGCCCCATCCAGGTTCCCATGGTGGCCGGCTCCCCTCTTGGGGCAACCCAGACGTGCAACAAAGTGCGATGGTAAGAACAGACCAGGGTGCCGGGGCCTTCAGGTCACTTGGGGAGAAGCGGGTCACCTCTTCGCCCAGGCCCGCAGTAGCTCAGTTTGCTGGAGATGCGCAGTGTCTGCCTTAGCAGTTTCTAACTGAAGCTGAGTTTGGTTAGACCGAAACCGAACATGTGGCATCCTGCCAGGACGACCTGAAGTCATCCTCACGTGTCCTTTCCACAGAAACAGACCCCTGCACCTTTTCTTTGGAACTAACCCACCCAATCTTAGAAGATGTATATGTGCTTCTTTCCTTTTTCCTACTCTACCTGGCTAGTCTTTAGATACGTTTTTCTTCGTATGTGGTGTTTATACATTTCACGTGACTGTATCAAACTTTCCATTCAAGCCTGCAGTTTTTATTTTGCTTATTTTTAAAAAGTAGAGTCTAATCTTAGAAAGCTGTGTGGTAGTTTGTGAACTGCTTGAGTAGAACCTTTATGATGTCTTAGAAAGTCTCAGAGCTGCTTGGTGTCCACTCATCCAAGGCTTCTTGTCAGATGCTCCAGCTGGCAACTTGTGCTGAAGCTCAGGCTCTGGCGTTGTTAGCCTTCCCCACACCTGGCCAGAAAGAAGTCCTGCTTAAGGCCGCGGACACGGCATGGCTTTGTGCTTGACGAGGGGCCTTTTGACTGAGCGCTGCTCTCTTCAGGTTCCCTGGTCTGGCCGCAGCCTTCTGCCCGGTGTGTCTGGGAGGAGAGAGAATGATGGGATGGCAGCGGTGGGGCCGGGGAGGACATGTGGATGCCAAGGAATGGGAGCCGCAACAAGCCTGGAAGGACTGTTGTGACCTTGCCGCCCATGTGTGCTGGCGGCTGGCGCTGGGTTAGGTGCTTTGTGGACCTTGCCAGGGAGTGTGGGAAGGGAGAGCAGGGGCTCCTTGGCTGGCTGGGCATGGGATGTTCATGAACATACCCTAGTACCGAGGTGGCTGGCTGTCCTGGCTTGTCTGGGGGCAGCTCCAGATGATGGCTGCTGTGCTAGCTGAAGCATTGGTGCCTGTTGGAACTCTCAGGCGTGCCGGGGGTTTTGGAAACGCTACCCCGCCCTCCAAGCTCCGCTGCTGGCGGTGGAATTGGCATTTCAGTTAGCGGGCGGGAGGTGGGGAGCGTTCGTGTGCTCCTCTGGGACGGGCCTTCACCCTGCACATATGCTGTCACTCGCGTTTCCCCCCAGCAGGAGTTTGTTTACCGTGTCCTCTGTGCAGAGATGCTGTTGGGCTCTCAGGTCAGCTGTGCAAAGCTGTTGGACCCAATGCCTTTTTTTTAAGGATAGTTTTTTGGGGTAATGTCCTCTTACCCTAAAATGCAGTGTTTAGAAAATATAACTTACATCTCAAAAAAGAAAAAAGAAAATGTAATTTATAACTTAAAATTAATAGACTGCCCTAGCTATAGAGAATAAATGTGATAGTATTGTGTGATAAGACAACACATTTCAACATGGTGATGGTCGGCCGTGAAAAAGCCAGACGTCCCACCTGGTGTGTTGCGTCCTGGTGATTGGGGGGTGGTCCTTGCAGAGGGACCCAGGTGTGACACTGGGAGTTCAGCCCCTAGCTGGTGATGGAATGTTACAGAATAGTGAGCAGTTGCTAATGAACTTTCAAATAAAGCAAACTATAAATTTTTCTAGACTTATGTAATAGTTGAATTCATGGAAAATTCAAGTCATAGTAAGACCGTGCAAAAATGTTTTGTGTGTAAATGTTGAACAGAGTAAGTTTCTGAGTTCAGAGAGTTAGAAGCCTGTTTTCCACTCGTGAAGTTCTGGTTCATTGTAAGTTTTGTGCGTGGAGAGTTTTTGTTGGGTGAGACTGTCTCACTCATTGAAGGACGTCTCAACCTCCCTTACCTCTGCCTGCCAAATTCCAGTACTCTCTGAATCTTGACCACCAAATATGTCTCACGGGATCTCAAAGCATCCCTGGGCTGCATTGAGAACCGTTGTTCTAAGGAATTAAACACAAGGATGAACAAACTTCTCCTGTCCCCAGAGCCTTGTGTGCCGGAGGATGGCTGCCCATCACGTGTCACTTGTCACTTTGTGCCAGTGCTGGGCAGGTCATTGTCACCACTTGGGAAAAGTGTTGACAAAATCGATGGTTAGATTCCACCACTGACGATGTGTGATGGGGAGAGAAGTTCCTGTGTGAAGAACTCCAAAGGCTGGAGTGTGGTTTCTGTCGTGGGTTGGCCTTGAGGGTGCCTTGTTTGGATTCCATCTGCATGGGGTGGAGCTTGGGCCTCTGGCTGGTACAGTTGCCCTGACGGATACTGGGGTGACCTTGGCCAAGTCACGCATTCATTTCCATCTGAGTTTCTAGTTTCCTCATCTTTAAAAAGAAGATGAGGGGGCCGGGCGCGGTGGCTCAAGCCTGTAATCCCAGCACTTTGGGAGGCCGAGACGGGCGGATCACGAGGTCAGGAGATGGAGACCATCCTGGCGAACACGGTGAAACCCCGTCTCTACTAAAAAATACAAAAAACTAGCCGGGCGAGGTGGCGGGCGCCTGTAGTCCCAGCTACTCGGGAGGCTGAGGCAGGAGAATGGCTTAAACCCGGGAGGCGGAGCTTGCAGTGAGCTGAGATCTGGCCACTGCACTCCAGCCTGGGCGACAAAGGGAGACTCCGTCTCAAAAAAAAAAAAAAAGAAGATGAGAGGAAGAGGACCTGGAGCTCCTCTGGGGCTGCTTCAGCCCAGGGTCCTCCTGCTTTCTGAGGGTAGCAGTGTCTGTGTTCACGAAAACACATCCATGGGGCGGATGTTAGCCACAGACCTGCCATGGCAGAAATCCCCCGTGCTTCTCTCTGTGTGTCAACAAGCAGTGAAATAAGAGTAAAGTTGCCTAATACTGACTCAGATGCACAATCCAGTTAACCCAGATGTGTGAGATCTTCTGGTTTGAAAGCACTGTATTGGCAAGGCAAAATCAACCTATTGTAGAATATATTTTTTGTATATCAACATGGGGGTTATTAATATTGCTAATAAAACCATTATTTGTAAAAATTAAGATTAATAGAAGAATTGTTCTTCTATTTTCTCATAGCTTTAAATAGGATAAAAATATATTCTATTTAAAATCCTATTTAAAATATATCCTATGCAAAATCACAAGAAAACAGAGGAGTGGTTTCCTTTTTTTTGAGACTCTGCTCTGTCACCAGGCTGGAGGGCAGTGGTGTAATCTTGGCTCACTGCAACCTCTGCTTCCCAGGTTCAAGCAATTCTCCTGCCTCAGCCTCCTGAGTAGCTGGGATTATAGGCATGCACCACGCTGCCTGCCTAATTTTTGTAATTTTAGAAGAGACAGGGTTTCACCACATTAGCCAGGGTGGTATTGAACTCCTGACCTTAGGTGATCCACCCTCCTTGGCGTCCCAAAGTGCTGGGATTACAGGCGTGAGCCACCATGCCTGGTGGAAAGTTTTAAATGTGGTATGTTTGAATGACTTTTAAAGGAGGAGGCTGGGCGCGATGGCTCACACCTATAATTCCAGCACTTTGGAAGGCCAAGATGGAAGGATCACTTGAACCCAGGAGTTCCAGACCAGCGTGGGCAACATAGTGAGACTCCCATCTCTACAAAAAAATAAAAAAATTAGCTTGGCACAGTGGCACCCGCCTATAATCCCTTAGGAGGCTGAGGTGGGAGGATTGCTTGAGCCTGGGAGGGTGAGACTATGGTGAGCTGTGACTGTGCCACTGCACTCCAGGCTGAGCGAGGTCCTAACTCAAAAAAAAAAAAAAAACAAAAACAAAAACAAAAAGGGTGTTATTAAGTCTGGCATTTCTTTCCATATAAGTTCTTTTTAAAAGACAGTCTCACTCTGTCATGCCGGCTGGAGTACAGTGGTGCAATCTCGGCTCACTGCAACCTCTCCCTCCCGGGTTCAAGCGATTCTCCCACCTCAGCCTCCCGAGTAGCTGGAACTATAGGTGCATGCTACTGTGCCTGGCTGATTTTTGTATTTTTTGATAGAGATGGGGTTTTGCCATGTTGGCCAGGCTGGTATCTTTCCATATAAGTCCTGAAAATTAGAAATAAAAATTGCCAACAGTTGAGAGCTGTTCACAGAAAATTGTGGGAGAGAAGTAGCAGATAAGAACTTAATCCCATTATGTCAATGGAAAAAAGTATGTTTAAATTAGAAAATTACTAATTTGTAAACACATATGAGTGAATGAGAATTGTCTGTCTAAAATGTGGGCAGTGGAACTTTGAAAAGGAAAAGTCTCCAAACAAAGTTAAAAATTGGTTAGCATTCCAAATAATAAGGTGCTTCTATGGATTATTTATTTTGGGACTCAGATATTTTGAGATGGGAGTCTCGCTCTGTCACCCAGGCTGGAGTGCAATGGCATGATCTCGGCTCGCTGCAACCTCTGCCTCCTGGGTTCAAGCGATTCTCTGCCTCAGCCTCCTGAGTAGCTGGGATTACAGGCGCACGCCACCACGCCTGGCTAATTTTTTTTTTTTTTAATTAGAAACGGGGTTTTACCATGTTGGCCAGGCTGCTCTCGAACTCCTGACCTCGTGATCTGCCCGCCTCGGCCTCCCAAAGTGCTGGGATTACAGGTGTGAGCCACCACCCCCGGCCGGGACTCAGGTATTTTAACTGAAGATTAGGAGTATGTGAGTCACAGATAGTATTATATCCAAATCATATGCTGTTAAAATAGCCCAGGGTTCCCAGGGCTCACTCCTTGCTGTGAGGGATTAGCTGGGAAGTCCGAGTGTAATCTTATAGCACAGATGCAGACACCTTAAGGGGCTTTGAGTTGTGATGAGGCCGCCGGAGAAAGGGCGAGAAGCTGCCCCCTGCGGTGTCACTTGCCCTTCTGTTTAGAGCGGCTGCATCTGCTCAGAGCCAGCCCAACCTTCAAGGGTGGGCACAGCCTTGCAGCAGCAGGGGCGTCACTGAGGCCCCCTGTCTGTGTGTGGAAATCCACCCCACCTGTGGGTTAT